CCCCCCCCCCCCCCCCCCATTTCTTTCTGATTCTATAAACATGCATTGATTCAGGTCTTTTCAAGCTAGTATATCTCTCCCAAACAGTAGTTTGTTCAAGGTAATGTAATTGAAGTGCCTCATAATATAAGATGCCATAAGGATTAGAACAGGGGTCCTCAAACTACGGCCCGTGGGCCACATGCAAATACAAATACTGTATTTGTTCCCATTTTGTTTTTATACTTCAAAATAAAATATGTGCAGTGTGCATAAGAATTTGTTCATAGTTTTTTTTTAAACTATAGTCTGGCCCTCCAACGGTCTGAGGGACAGTGAACTGGCCCCCTATTTAAAAAGTTTGAGGACCCCTGGGCTAGAATATAAGTTGTCAATCTCATATCTCTTGTAACTTCATGATTAAAACAAAACTTTGTCTTGTATTGGAGTAGATTTAGTAATTTACCTTGTAGTAATAACTTTGTTCAGTAACAGAAGAGAGTGAAATCAATAAATAGCCTTTTAAAAATAAATCTCTTCTATCAACATTGTCAGATGCAGTGTCTTAGTAAAGACGTGTGCTTTCTGGCTACATCTGATTCACACACAGATTTCATAAGCAAATGATATTTCTTAAGATATCACAGCATATATTAAGAGGCAAGCAATACACATCCACGTGCAAGGATAGGAAGCATGTGTCCCAACATTTACTGCTAATGTATATTTCAACTTCAAACTGTGCTCTATTGGACTTAGGTTTAAAATGAGGTATTCCATTTCAGTAAAACTAAATTTCTTCTTCAGTACTGATTTGAAAAGATAAAATATATATTTTGTGCATGTTGTTTGGGTATATACTTAGTTTTCATTATTTTTGCTTCCTCCTCCCAGGTTTTCAGCAAAATGACCCTCAACTCAAAAATCAGTTTATTAAGAATGCACCAAGAGGACCAGCAAATATAAAACAGCAGACACAGCTGCCTCTTCATCCTTCATGGGAAGCAAGCAGGAGGCGAAAAGAGCAGCAATCTAAAATTGCTGTGTTTCAGGGGAAAAAAATTACGTTTGATGATTAATTAGTACCTCTTTTTGTGAACTTTTCCATCTAAAAAATTGTTTTCCTTCTTTTTGTTTTTTACCAGCCCATTATTTAAACTCATATTTGGATAAGTCTTTTTGGAGGAGGTGTAGAAATCAGTTTGTTGTCTTTATTTCTCTTTTTTAAGTATGTTCAAGTTATGTTTACATAAATCTTGCACAAATCTACTACATTAGTTGGTTTTTAAAAATATGCCCAGAACGTTCCCTTTATAAAAGAATTTTGAGATTATTAGTCAGATTTCCTCAGTTGTGCTTATCATGAAGTATATTTCACTGGATTAGGTCTGTGTTTCTTTGCCTTGAGAATAAAAGTTGAGATATATTTAAAATAATAATTGAAAAGTATGAGGAAATTATAGCTATTTAAAGTAGATAACCTCTGCTAAAAGTTATTCTTGTTGGTAAAACTAAGATTAAGATAGTAATGTTTGGCCCTGGCTGGGTAGCTCAGTTGGTTAGAGCATCTTCCCAGTACAACCAAGGTTGTAGTTTCAGTCCTTGGTCAGGGCACATACAAGAATCAGCCAATGAATACATGAATAGATGTAACAATAAATTGATGTTTCTCTCTCTAATATCAATAAAAAAAAGAGAGTAATGTTCATTTGGGGTACACAGGTAATAAATTATGCAAAAAATATTAATATTGTTATACAAAAAATATTATAGCTTTAATTAGTAATGATCTTGTACTTTTTAATTGTTTTAGTTTCCCAGGATAATTTTAGATTTCTGAATATTTCAATTATTTAAGTAACATATTGTTTAAATGTAGCAACACAACCAAAAATTAGTTTTCTATTTCACTGCATATAAATATTTCTGTTAAATTCAAAATGTTTGACACCTAATTACATGGCCATGTGCTCTTATAGAAACATTTTTGAGGAATCATAGATTGAAGGAGTTATGATTAAAAGAGCATTTCTACAGTAGCTGAACAGAAAGGTTATAAGATGACTCACTGAGGAGAGGGCTACTCTGTGCATCTTAGTATTTCTATTAAAAGAAAAATTAAGATTTTAAAAATCCTTTCAAGCCCGACTGGCATTGCTCAGTGGTTGAGCGTCAACCTGTGAACCAGGAGGACATGGACATGGTTCAATTCCTAGACAAGGCACAGCCTGTGTTTCAGCAAAATGCGGGCACATCCAGTAGGGGGCGTGCAGGAAGCAGCTCATCAATGATTCTCATTATTGATATTTCTATCTCTCCCCTCTCCCTTCCTCTCTGAAAGCAATAAAAATGTTTATGTGTGTGTGTGCACGCGCACACATATATATACATAAATAATAAAATCTCTTCAAAAGTTAATGTCAGGGAAAGCCTTCTCATTAGCAGGAATTCCCAAGCTCTGGAGAGTCATTTCTACATTTTCCATGAGCTTAAAAATTTAGATAACTTGAGCAATGGGATTCAAGTTATTGTGTGGAAAGAAAATTATTTCTGTGTTGAATGCAATTTTTTTTTTCTTTCAAATTTTATTTTGACATAATTTCAGTTATGTTAGATTGAAATTAATTTCAATTATGAAAATTTATTACAGTAAAAAAGTGAAAGAAAAATGTCTCTATGCCTATCCAGATTTAGCCAAGCTACGAAGTTGAGAATACTATTTTCCAGACTGCCAAGTCTGCTTAAGACTTTACCCCAAGCCCTAACTGGATTGTCTCAGTGGATAGAGCATCGGCCCGCAGACTCAGGGTCCCAGGTTCGATTCCGGTCAAGGGCATGTACTTGGTTGTGGCCACATACCCAGTAGGGAGTGTGCAGGAGGCAGTTAATGGATGTTTCTCTCTCATCAATGTTTCTAACTCTTTATCCCTCTCCCTTCTTCTCTGTAAAAAATCAATAAAATATATTTAAAAAAAAAAAAAAAGACTTTACCCCAATTGCAAGGAGTTAGGGGCCAACTACAAAGTTAGAAGAGCCCACACAAGACCACTCTTACTTCTGACACCAATTGCAGGTTCAGAGGTGGTGTGTGGGGAGGGGAATGGGTGGAGGGCTCCCCATACACTGAGGTTCAATAATTTGCTAGAAAAACTTCTTGAGCTCACTGAAACCTATTCACAAAGTTTACTTATCACAGGGAAAGCACACAAGTTATAAACAGCCATAGGAAGAGGAGCATAGAGCAATATCTATGAGGGTTCTAAATGCAAAGCTTCTCTTGTCCTCAGGACATACTATCATTGTGCCATCAAATGCAGATTGCCAATCTGAGGAGCTTTCTCAAGGTTTTGTATCCAGAATTTTTACTGTGCCTTCAATATTTAGGGATGATTGATTGATTGCTTACATAATTGTTCCAAAGGGACTGATACTACATGACCCAAGCCCCTGTGGTAAATCACATGGTTTGTCTTTTTTTAGTGTAGCCAGCATTTACCCTAATCAAAGATAGTCCAATCAGGTATGACATAGATTACCTTCTAGAAGGTGAAGGCAAAGACAATTATTGTCTTCAGCAAGGCCGAGGTTTTTACCACACCCTATCCTGCACCCAAATTCCGTAAACTTTTATTGTATTAACATTTTACTGCATTTTCTTTACATGTACTTTTCATCTTTCTCCTCCCTCTCCTTTTATTCCTCCTCTCCTATTTATCCCCCTCTCTTTCTGTCCTCCACTCTTTCTCCCTCTCCAACTGCTTTCTTGTTCTCATCCTTTTCCCATTTCATTTTTCTTGTTTCCTTCTCTCCCCTCCACCCTTTATATTCTCTCTTTATAAACAAAGTCATTCTCTATTCTCTTGTATTACCACAGTCCAGTTATCAAATGCTCAGATTTTTCCAATTGTCCCCATGTCTTTTTACAACAGAAAAGCCAACATCATACCTTACGTTCAGTTGCCATATCTCTTTAGTTGATAATAGTTTGAGTCTGTTTTAGTATTTTATGACATTGACATTTTTCAGAAGTACTGAGCATTGTCCCTTTATTTGGGTTTGTCTGATGTCCCCATTATTAAATTCAAGTTAGGCACTTTGAGCAGGAATATCACAGGAGGGATGTTGTATTTATCCCAGTGCGTATTAAGAGGCAGGTGGTGATGTTGATGTGACCTAGTACTGGTGATGTTAATTTTCTTGTTTCAGGTAGTGTCTATGAGATTTCCCCACTGGAAAGTTAGTATTTTCCTCTTTGTAATGAATAATTATTTTTAGGGAGGTACTTTTAGACTATAGACTATTCTAAAACTTTCACTGACTAGTTCTACCATTCAGCCGTAATTCTTAACTGAAACAATTACTGCTAGAGTAAAAAAAAAACAACAAAAAACGTTTCTTCTTGTTTCTACAAATACTAGCTGGCTTTTTATATTAAGGAAGAACTATTCAGTTTTTAAATTTATTTCATTGTGATCTCATGGATAGCTCTATTTTTATTGGTTATTTTTTATTTTGTTGTGTCTAATATTGGCTTATAAGGTTTACAATATACATCTTTATCACAGTCTGATCTATAGTACACTTTTTTTTAAAATTGATTTCAGAGAGAGGAAGGGAGAGGGAGAGATAGAAACATCAGTGATGGGAGAGAATCATTGATTGGCTGCCTCCTGCACGCCCCCTACTGGGGATCGAGCCTGAAACTCCAGGCATGTGCCCTGATCAGGAATCAAACCATGACCTCCTGGTTCATAGGTTGACATTCAACCAATGAGCCATACTGGCAGGACAGTATACTTTAATTTTCTTCAGGCCTTTGTTTTATTATTTACATACATTTTGCTTCTGCTTGTAACCCTATTATACGTTGTTATTGTTTTTGCTGATAATAGGCTGGGAATGTTGCTAAACATTCTATAGTATTATACAACAAAAAATTATCAAGGTCAGAATGTCAACAATGCTAAGATTGGGCTCATTTAGTGTAGGGCTCATTTGGCCCCATTACTGAATCACTATCTTATGCTTTGTCTGTAAGGAAATCTTTCTGTTGTGTCTGGTGAAAACACAAACTATTCCTGGGACTGTAAGTTCTTGGTATTGTTCCTCTACTTTCTGGCATTGGTAGAGTCTTCATATGCATTGCACAGATCAGTCTTATATGACCAACTTGAAGGAACCCTTCTGTACATCTAGGACCCTTTCTGTGCATCTTCCTCTTCTGTATTTTTCCTCCCACAATCTCGTCAAATTAGCTTATCTAAACTCTGAACTACCGGGTAGCGAGCTGAAGCACTCAACTTATTAGTTTTTTTATCCTGTACAGCTTTTTTTGTCCATTATCCCAAAACCTTTGTTTTATAAATTTTATTAAGTTTTCTAGTTGCTTAATGTAGAAGGGCAAATCTGGTTTCAGTTATTATGTAACAGTCAGAAATAAAAATCCCTTATTTATTTTGATACTCAAATTGTCCTTAATTTGACCACTGGGAGCCTTTCACAATATATTTATTTTCTCAACAGGAGAAAACACAGAAGTTAGTTTCAGAATTGCTAATGATGCCTCTGTAAAACAGAAGTCCATTAGCCAAACTTCAGTATATGTTCAGAATGCTTTTTTCTTTAGCCTGAGGGCATATGGTCTCAAAACTAAGTTTGGAAGTTATCTGGGATGATGTCAGCAAAAATGGTGGAGTAAGGGCATCCAGAAATTTTTCTCACTGTCAGAAGCAATGAGAAAACTGTCCATATCGTCAGAATCAACTTTTTCAGAGCTATGGAATTAACCAAAGGCTTGCAGCAATCCAGGGAGTATTTTTCAAGAAAAATGGCTTAATGTTCATAAGAATAGTGATCTTTGTGACATTTTAACTTGCCCTATTCTCGTCCCCCACTTCTCATATACCTGGTAGTCTTGAAATCCAGCAGCTGACAGCCACTGGGGGTCAGCTTCATAGATATATTATCAGAATTGTTATTATTTGACTACTTTGGTAGTTCACTGGAAGGCTCCTCTTGCAAATTTGTCTTGTGTCAAAGAGCTTGCCCAGTGCATAAAGCCATTTCCTGAGATCACTTAGAAAACAAAGAGAGGCAATTGTTCAACATCATAGCTGCCTGAGGCATTGAATAACTCTTGGGGCAAAAATTTCATCAAAAAGCTTAAAAAGTAAGATGAAGAATTTAATATCCTTGGGAAATCTGGTAAGTTCTGACATATTTCTTGGAATTAAGGAAGTCACATGCTTAACACTGTGCATGTTCAGGAG